CCACCCCCACCCCCTACCCCAGGCCGCCATCAACTCGTGCCTGGGATTAATCTGAGTCTCTCTTCCTCCCATCCAACTCCACCCAGCTGCCCAGGTGATCTTTCTAAAAATCTAGTCAATTCTCTCCTCTGCTTAAAAACCTTCAAACCTGCAGCTACCTCTAGGATATGGGTCACTCTCCTTCCTGGAATGAGCCCTGCTGGCTTCTGCAGCCTCCTTACAAGCCCCCGTACCTGCCTGGGATGCTGTGTAGACCTCCAGTAGGTGGCCCTCCTCACCTTTCCCTCTCTGGAATGGCCCTGCCTTCCCCACGCGCCTCTGCTTAGTTAATTCTCGGTCCTGACAATGCTGAACTCCAGACTGAGCTAGGGATTCCTCCGTGGGGCTCTGACATGCCCTGTGTGCTGCCTTATTATCAGAGGTGGTAGAATTTGGTGGCTAAAGTGGGGCCCCTGGTACTAGACCAATTATTAAGCCTTGCTCTGCCTCTTGCTATTTATGAAAACTTAAGCAATCACCATGCCATATCTATGGATACATGAGAAACAGGCATAATAGTGGTACCTAGATGATAGAGTTTGGGGAGGACTGAATGAGTAAAACACACAGAAAAATGCTGCCACAGTGAATAGCACTTAGTAAATACCCAATAAATATTACCTATAATTCACAATCTGACTTGTGTTATACTTATCTTTATGTGTCTGCTCTCCACTCTGGACTGGGGTGAGGGCAGGGATTTTATCTTGTATCCCCAGTGTCTGAGTGTCTGAGGCATGGTAGTTGCTCATTTAGATGTCTGTTGAATGAATGAGTGAAGCACTTAACCCATTCCAAACCTCAGTTTGCTCATCTTTGAAATGAGGATATTAAGGCTTATCTCAGAGGGGAATGTGAAGGCCAAATGAAGTCAGTGCAATGGCCTACTTGTGAAACAAATCCTTGTGCACATCCCTCTAGCCCCCAGTGAGACACTGTGCTGGGCTTCTGAGGAATAGACAAGGGCAATTGGGTAATAAGTCATTAGCACTTGGCAATCTCTAAAGTCCTTGGGCATCCATTATCTTATTTTGATAATGTACATGAAGAAACTACGAGGAACATTTTATTGTGCATTTCCCATTTACGAAGGAAGAAATTCAGGGAGAAGAACCTTGTCCTCAGTCACACAGCTGGTTGAGAAGCAGACCCAAATCTTTTGATTCCAAATTCTGTTTCTTTTCATTACACCCTACTTTCCCTACCTCCGCCCCCAAGCCTATAATCAACACAAATAACTAATATTATATAAGGTAGAAAGATTAAGGGCTCTAACACATACACATAAAATCTGTGTGTTGAATGTGCAGGGCTATGCGGATGTTTGTTTAAGTGTGATAACATCAGACTGACATATGTAAATGCATTCTGTGTCCAAAGACTGTGATTTATATATATTATTTCTCTTAACTCACAACAGCCGCATAGGCAAATATTGTTTCAGTTTTACAAAAGAAGTAATTGAGGCTCAGAGGGGTCATCTATTTAACTATTTAAAGACAGTCACAGCAAGTCAGTGAATGCATTCCAAAGAAGGTAGCTCAAATCCAGCAAGGAAGAGAGAGGGAGCCTAGGAAGAAAGAAGAAATCAGAAAAGGCTCCACAGAGGAGGTGGCATTTAAGTTGGGCTTTGAAGAATGGATCAGGTTCAGACAGGCTTTGAAGAATGGATCAGGTTCAGACAGGCAGAGATGCAGCCTGAGGACGCCGGACAGCCGACTGAGGAATTGACAGCAGCTGTTCACTTTGAGAAAGATTTTTTAAATCCCTAAGGCTGGAAGCCCACGGCTTCATGAGAAAGTAAAGCCTGTCATCTGTTGGCAGCTTTTTCCTTGGGAATGATAGACTGACCCTGTGCTGCAGCCCCCAAACCACAAGCCATCTTGTACCTGGATGTTGAGGTTGTTTGGGGAGCTGCGAAAGGTAACACAAGTACCACAGCCCCTGAGAAGTCAAAGATCAGGACTAAGACAAGAGGCAGCTGCTTCTTAGAAAAACCTTGGGCATCAGGCCAGCACTGTGACTGCTAGCTGCAGTGCAATCCTGTCAAGTCATTCCACCTCTCCAAACTTCTGTTTCTCCCTCTGTGGAATGGGGATAATAAAATGGGAAAGTTTGTTAAGGACCCACGGAGAGACACATGTGAGAAGGAGCCAAATGGCACTATGCAGCATAAGCCATCAACCTTTCTAAGGGTAGCTAGGAAGGGCTAATGTTTTTTGTCATCACAGCCAGAGGTAGATTGAAATAAGGACAGACTTAGGTAGCTTTGAAGATTAGAGCCATCAAGGCAGTTTTTAATGCAAATGATCTGTTTCTATAATCTATTTATTTACATGGACTTGCTTTAAATACTTCCACATGTAGAAAGATCGTGTTCCTCCCAAAGTAAACTTCAGATTTAAAGCAATTGCATCTAGAAATCCCATCAAGACTTCTATTTTGTTTTTAGAACTAGGTAAAAAATGATGTTAAAATGCATATGAGGGGGAAAATCTAATTCATATGGAAAATCTAATTAATAAATGTACAAGAATGGCCAAGAACACTTCATGAAGTTAAAAAAAAAATTGCCACAAGGGTCTTGCCTAATCAGATATTAGACCTTATAATAAAATCCAAAACAGTCTAGCATTGTCATAGGCAGGTATCAATACAACAACATAGTCTGGAAACAGGTACAAATGTATATGAGTCCTTAGTATATAATTAATAGTGCATTTACAGTCAAACCCATCAAAAGGGGAGTGGTTGAATAATTTAGAATGTAATTAAATTAAGTATTTTGAGATGGAGAGATTACCCAGGGGGGCCCTAAATGCAATCACAAGTGTCTTTATAAGAAAGGCAGAGGGAGATTGGACATAGAGGAGAAGGAGGCAAAGTGACTGTGAAGGTACAGATGAGAGTGCTGGGGCCACAAGTCAAGGAAAATTGGAGCTGGAAGAGACCAGGACCAATTCTCCCCGGGAGCCTCAACAAGGAACCAGCCCTGCCAAGACTCACTTCAGACTTCTGACCTCCGGAACTGTAAGAGAATAAACTGTTGTAAGCCACTAAGTTTGTGTGATTTGTTCCAACAGTAATCGGAAACTAATAACACGACTGATTTCTCAGGACTCGGCTCAGACCTCTAAGAGACAGGAGACATGCCTAGGGAAGGTGCCTGTGCATCATCCCCTACAGCACTGGCCACACCTCATGCCATCGTCAGTCTCAGGATTGGTGTTCCTTACTAGACAGTGAGCTTTCTGAGGGCAGACGCTCTGTCTCACTCATACGACCTGAACACCCAGCATTGTCAAGTGAGCACTCAATGAATGTCTGTTGAACCAAATGTATGAGGACAGGAAGATAAATTAGATTTGGTCTAATTGACCAAGACACTGGGTCTGTATCCAAGACTTCACAGTTGCCTTTAGCTCTGAACTTTGACTCAAGAAAAGTTAAAAATGACATCATCCAAAGAAAGATTTTGGTCCTACACTCTCTTATAAAAGCAAGGCTTTCATAAATTTTGGCAGCTGCTGGGATGGCAGCTTATTTAGTTTTTCGATTTGAGGCAGCAAGAAAATACTGCTCGTTTTAGATCACATCTGCCTGTGTCTGCCATCAATTATCAGTTGTGAAAAAATCATTTTACTCTGCACAGAAGTTCAGAACAAGTTCCTTATTTTCACTTTATTTTAAAATCAAAAACATTCCATTTTTAGAACAATTTTTTTAATCAGCTTTGGGTTTCTTGGGGGGGGGGGTAAGGGTTACTCTTTTGTTTTGTTAGTTCTGTTTTGCTTTGGTATTGGAGCCAACTGGGAAAACATAAGCATTATGTTCTAAGTCACTCATTTCTTCTTTCGAAATTTAAACTCCCTTCCTCATCCTCCTCTCCTCCCTTTTTTACGTGGCTGCCAGTGGTCTCCTTTTTTCCCACCCCTCCTCATGACAGCTGCATTTCTTACTAGGCAGATCCCTTCTCATACAGGGAAGAAAATTCTTTAAAAGGGACGGTTTTCATATACTACTTGGAAACAGTCAACTACAACAGAGAGCTATGAAAATTGCATCAGAGAGAAGATGTTTGCTCAAGGTCACTGAGAGAAAAAGAAGCAAAGCTGGATTCTTCCCAGACCTGACTTGGAGGCTGACTGCAGGCTTAGGTAACCCTTTTGCACTCACTGTTTTACAGTGAAAACCTCACGAAACATACTAACTAGTCCCTATGCATGATCAATGACGCTAGTCAGGGTGCCACCCTTGGCCTGTTAATAAAAAACTTATTAAGATAAAGCATGTACACTGTCTTAGGAAAATAGCACAAGATAAATGCTTTCTAACAAAAAGCACCAGTTGTCTGTTCCACCTCTCCTCTCAGTTTCATGCTCTAAAAGGAATCTTTTTTGTGTGTGTGGTAAAATAGACATAAATAAAATGTATCATTTTAACAATTTTTAGGGGTACAGTTCAGTGGCATTAAGTA